AAATTGACTGAATATAAAAATTTGGGTATCTATAAAGAAATCACAAAAGAAAGAAAAACGAAATATTTTCCGAAAAAACAAACAATTCGTGGGAAGTTGCTACGAACCTCAAATTTACCGCAGCCAAACAAAGTCAAATCTTTGTCGCCATTTTTCCACCGAGCCGTATTAACGAGTTACAGCGGGTCAATCTCTGTCGTCCTTGGTCCCTGTCTCGAGCCAGTCTGAGTTAATTGGTTTCGCATATTTACCTCTCTCTTTGAGATTAGAGTGCTCAGGAGGAGGCGGGCAGGGGTCTTCGAACATTCAGAAAGCTTTATAATCATTCTAAAGGCTCCAGGTCAACAGTCAAAACAAAAAGGCATTGTATATTAAACATACAATAATCCAACTGGGTGTTTGTTTGTAGGTTTCGAACCGTTGAATATTGACTTCTTTTTTTTTTAGAAATCAATCTGATTCAATATCAATATGAATAAATTTTTCAAATTTTCAAATCTAATCAAATGGACCTTGAATATTAAATGGAATAATCAGTTTCTTCATTCACTATACCAATTCCCAAGAAAAAATGCTAAAACAAAACAGGGGTTGTTTTCTAAACCAAAAGGAAAACTTCTATACAGAATGGCCAAAGATCACTAGATGCAAAAACTTGATATTGCTTATCGTCCTTGGATCATTGTCATGGTAGCTTCATTTGCTGAGAAAATAATTTCAGACTGTGGTTGAGGATCAGAGACTGAGTTTTGGAAGGTAAATATTGGCTCCTTCGGTTGTCGACGATCTGTCTCGCTACTTAGCATGAAAACTACATCTGGCATGGTTGGCCTGTCTGCAGCTTTGTCTTGTATACAAAGAAGCGCAATGTGCATACATCTCATCACTTCTGATGAGGAATATGAATCTGCCAATATTTCATCAACCAACTCCAATCCCCTGCCTTCATTCCATGAGTGCCATGCCTGACAAAATTTCATATATATGTATTTAGCTTCATATAGATTGTTTAACAACTTATAAGATTTCGACTGTGAACTTACATAAGCTAGGAAACCTAGATGTTGTTCATAGTAATAGAAGCTTGTATTCTTCCTGCCTGTAATAATCTCCAATATCAAGACCCCGAAGCTATAGACATCAGACTTTTCAGAAAATATCCCGCCCATGGCATACTCCGGAGACATATAGCCACTGCAAAGGCAATTCAGTAGTATTTTAACTGACAATATTTCTTCTTTGTTTCTGGTCTTAAGAAAAGGGCCACAAAATTTATCTCCTAATGGCATGCAACTAATATTTCAGTTAAGATTGCAGGGCTCTAAATAAAATGAATGGTACAGCTAGATTTCCTACATGTTATCTCTGCTGCTTCCGTATAAATTCACTAATATATTGATATGAATGGCATTATGGCCATATGCTGAACATTGAAAATTAAATTTTGATGTTCTTCCAAGAATAGGAAAGGGAATGATGCTTACAGTGTTCCCACAACCTTCTGAGTATTTGTTAGATTCTGTGTCCCTTGAACGATACGTGCCAATCCAAAATCTGAAATTTTTGGGTTCATGTTCTCATCCAGGAGAATGTTACTGACCTTCAAATCTCTATGTATTACCTTCAAACAAGAATCATGGTGGAGATACAGAAGCCCTCTAGCAACACCCTGAATAATATTGAAGCGTCTGCCCCAATCAAGCTCAGGTCGCCGCACTGGATCTAATCAATGCAAACACTCAAAATATAACCAATAGTTTCATTCACATATCCCATGCATTGTACAATGAAAACGTTGACTGTCACTAGATTTTTAACCTCAAATTGCTACAGAAAATACTGACGCATTTATATGAACAATAGTGAAACAGGGGTGTAATCAGATTCAAAATTGATTTCAGGTCTAGTTCAACATTGTCTCTTATACTTTATCAAGAACTGAAATGTACTCATGTGGTATACAATTCAGTTTACATTTATGAGCGTTAAATCTGCAGGATGTCTTGCTTGACCGTTTGTATTGCAAATAAATCAGTGATTCTTTGCATCAATCGAAAATAATTTTGATTCTTTGTGCCCGAACATTTAGTTCATGTGAATTCATTTGTGGCTTTAAGTTAGTAGGCAAATTACAAAGATAAAGTCCAGTGAAACTAACCAAATAGAAGAGTGTCCAAGCTTCTGTTTGGCATGAACTCATAAATCAGTAACTTCTCATCTTCTTTGACACAGCAGCCCATGATCCTAGCAAGATTTTTATGTTGGAGCTTGGACATCAACAATGTCTCATTTTTGAACTCTTCTATCCCTTGCCCTGAGCTACTAGATAGTCTTTTTACTGCTATTTCCTTCCCTTCTTGTAGCATACCCTACAAATTAATCAAGGTATTCATGTCCTTATCTTGTAGTTGTGTAGAATTGTAGATGTTGTGATACTATATTTTCCTTTAGAAAGAGACAAAAGAAATAAATAATAACCTTGTAAACTGGACCAAATCCTCCTTCCCCGAGTTTGTTTGAGATGCTGAAATTGTTTGTAGCAATTAATATGCTATCAAAATTATAGATGAATAGCTCCCATGGATCTTGGTTTCTAATATATTCTTGAAGAGTGTCTCTTGAAGTCTCAGTAGTATCAGTCACTTTAAAGAACTTTGTTGTTACTTTGATTTTTCCTGATTTGGCAAAAATAACAATCAAAAACTGAGTCAGATCAAACCATAAAATTTCTTTGTTAGCTTACACAAATGAATTGCATCCCCCGCTCTCTCTTACCCTTTTGGTGAGCTCGCAACCTGTGCAAACCAAACACTATGGCACCCAAGATACTAATAAAACCAGTAACTGTGAGGCTGACAATTAACTTCGTTCGATTTCCTTCATCTGAAAAAATGAAGTTGTAATGCAAACAGTGTGAGACAGAAAAGAAAAGATATTTCTACTTAAAGCAGTGCAAGCAATATTATCATCGTTTACCTATTTCTGCACGGTCTAGGAGAATAAAAAGATCTACTCCGCCAGACGAAAACTTCTGTATATCAATAAGGTCTTTGGACCAGGCCAAACACCCTATATTATCAACATATGCATAAGCCAAGCAAGAACAATTATTTAGGCATTGTATCTTGCACTCTACAGCATCCGAAGACGTGATATATTCATGAAAATCTGGTACTTTCAACCTTACCATCTTCGAAAACCCATCTCCTTTTCCTCTCAAAGTGACTGACTTGCTAGTGTTACTCTCACAAAACAATTTGGTTTTCCTCTCACACCCTGCTGTCCTGTTTCCTTTGCTCCATTCCTCAGGTGACTTAGGTTTAAACCCTTTCAAACACTTGCAAATTGGAGTTGGAGACTCAGAAGCTGTACAAACCCCAAAAGGTCCACATGCTCCATATTTGTCACATGAATTCTTTTGTGCTGCCCAGTGAAGATTCCAGTTCTCTCCATTTACGGAATCCATAAGCTTCAGTATACCTTCTGAAGTGATGTCTATATATGCCTGCACAGTTTTGTCAAGGATATTATAAGAAAAATACTTTGTTCCTTGCTGCACATTATCATCTAGGTTATATCCACTTTGATATTCATCATCCATCGTCGGTACCCCGATGAACTTTGATTTATCCCATGGCCCAGTTCTATAGTAGAGAGTTGATCCATTCATCCAAATTACAGCCTGTGATGGCACCTGTGGTGTAAGTCCAACCAAGAACATCCCAGTTGATGGATCACTCTCACTTTTCCAGGCAGTCAAAACTTTCTTCATTCCAGATTTGCTATCGAATCCCAGCAGCATGCTTGGTAGAAGTGTGTCACTTGGATAATCAAAGCTCTGCCACAATGGATCAGCTGCTCCTATACTGACTTTGACAACAAAGTTTCCACTGTCTAAAAGCATTGCAGCTGAAGTATTAGATGGCACTGAAATATTGGTTGACCAAACAGAATTCTGTTTGCCATCTACAAGCTCCAGAGTCCCATTGCTGCTTATTGCCAAACTAGCCAAGGTGTCTGCAGCTGCAATAGGCTTTTCTCTGTTAGCAACCCAAACAACTTTTCGAGGAAGTATGTTCTTGTGCCATATCCCCACGTACTTGTTATTATCAGAATTATTATTGGGACTGAAGAAGCCCAATTCGAAAATGCGGCCAGGGGAGACGAGGGTTTGTTCCTGTGCTAATGGTTGTGAAGAAGATATGTTATAAACTTCAGCACAATGATGCTGTGACAGAAGCAAGCTGAAGAGGAATAGGATGAACATGGTGGAACTTAAAGCGCTAACAGAAACCCAACAGTGACAATTAAATACTACGTTGGGCTAAAATTCAGATGCACCCTACGTGAAGCATATTAGTAATCTTCACTATTAGAAAATTGACTTTTCCATTTTTTTATGAAGAAAATTCTACCAATGCTTTTAAAAGTCATGCGCAGACAAGTTTGACTACATCACATTGTTCACTATTTGTAGTCCAGGACATATGAGTCATTTAGTTGCTCCTCGTGGCCAACTCGGAGCCATTAACCAATGTGAACCCCATGGTACGGCCCATCCCAATCAATGGCTCAGCCACCTGGAAGGAACTCTTCCACACTGCAAATATCAATGGTAGGGCCCATCCAGGTCTGACGATTATTATGTGCAGCTCTCTTCTCTGCGTCGAGTCAATTACCAGCTTGGATGTTAGGATATGGGATGTTAGGACTAAAATGATTCTCGAGGAGCTTACTTCATAACTGATTAACACATTTCATATTGTCATGTATATGTGATTTTGACATGCAAACTGCAGCAAACCATGCAATTCAGATTGGAAAGCAGCGGGCAGAGGAAGGTGGTGCCAATGGGGCAAGTAAGAATTTTAATAATTCAGTTTGGCAACCTTCATTCAATATTGAATCAATAATTAATTTTCTCAGTTCCATATTTCCTTAGAATCTTTAATTTGGTGGCCTTTCTTTTTTTGGCCTTTCCATTTGTGAGAAAGATTTAACATGGAAAATCTCGTTGGTAGAGAAGTAAGCAATAGTTACAGCCAAGGATTACCAAGAGTAACAATGTACACAATCAAGGACCAAGCTAGTCTCTGCTTTTGGGAAAACCTTCATTTACGGTCCCAAGAAAAAAGGGTTGTTTTGTACACCGAAAAGAAAACCTTCTATATGTGTAAGAACACTTCAGAATGCCCATTGCATTTGATGTAACAATTTTCTATTTCTTACCTTACCGTCCTTCAATCATTGTTATCGTAGCTTCATTTGTGGAGAAAATATTGTCATACTTTGGCTGAGGATCAGAGACTGAGTTTTGGAAGGTAAATATAGGCCGTTTAGGTTGTGGAAGATCTATCTCACTACTTAGCATGAAAACTACATCTGGCATGATTGGCCTATCTGCAGCATTGTCTTGTACGCAAAGAAGTCCAATATGCACACATCTCATTACTTCTGATGAGGAAGATGAATCAGCCAATACTTTATCAACCAACTCCAATCCCCTGCCTTCATTCCATGAGTGCCATGCCTGTCAAAATTCATATAGGATGTGTAGAATTGTTAGACTTTTAGGCCATACGAAGGAGACTGCTCATAAACTCACAATTTCACATTCAGCTGTAATTGTTAACTTACATAAGCTAGGAAGCCTAGCTGTTGGTCACAGTAACTGAAGCTGGTATTCTTCATGCCACCAATAATCTCCAATAGCAGGACCCCAAAGCTATATACATCAGATTTTTCAGAAAATATCCCTCCCATGGCATACTCCGGAGACATGTAGCCCCTGCACAATCAATTCATTAGTATTTAACTGGCAAAATTGCTTTCTTGGTTTCTGATCTTAAGAATGCAACCAAAAATTATATATCACAATGTCATGCAACTAATCTTCCATATAAATTCACTAACATTGAAAGTTAAGTTGTGTTGTTCTTCCAAGAACAGAAAAAGGAATGATGCTTACAGTGTTCCCACAACCCTCTGAGTATTTGTTAGATTCTGTGTCCCTTGAATGATACGTGCCAGTCCAAAATCTGAAATTTTTGGGTTCATGTTCTCATCCAAGAGAATGTTACTGACCTTCAAATCTCTATGTATTACCTTCAAACAAGAATCATGGTGGAGATACAGAAGCCCTCTAGCAACACCCTGAATAATATTGAAGCGTCTGCCCCAATCAAGCTCAGGTTGCCGCACTGGATCTAATCAATGAAAACATTCGAAATGTAACCAATATTTTCAGCCTTTAATTGCTAGAAAATAGTGACATAGTTGTATGAACAATAGTGAAACAGGGGTGTAAATGTAATTAAATTGAAATTCATTTCCAGGTCTAGTTCAACATTGTCTCTTCGACTTTATAGTGAACTGAACTCACATATTATGCAATTCATTTAATAACTATGAGCATTATATCTGCAGGGCTGTCTTGCTTGATTGTTTTTGTTTCTAAAAGAATCTTTATGAGCCCCCTGAGTACAGCATAGTACAAAGAACTAAGGGATTATCAATTATATTAGTTTAACAAAGAAGTAGACAGGTAACAAAGAGAAACTGCAGCCAAACATAAACCTCCAGTGAAACTAACCGAATAGAAGAGTATCCAAGCTTTTGTTTGGCATGAACTCATAAATCAGTAACTTCTCGTCCTCTTGGACGCAGCATCCCATGATCCTAACAAGATTTTTATGTTGGAGTTTGGATATCAACAGCATCTCATTCTTGAACTCTTCTATGCCTTGTCCTGAGCTACTTGATAGTCTTTTAACTGCTATTTCCTTCCCTTCTTGTAGCTTACCCTGCAAATTAATCATTGCATTCATGTCTGTATCTTGCAGCTTCTGCAATACTATATTTTCCTTCAAAAATAGAAAAATAAATAAATAATCACCTTGTAAACAGGGCCAAATCCTCCTTCCCCGAGTTTGTTTGTGATGCTGAAATTGTTTGTTGCAATTAATATGCTGTCAAAATCATAGATGAATAGCTCTGATGGATCATGTTTTCTTATATACTCTTGAAGATTCTCTCTTGAATTCTCATTCACATCAGAGAATTGAAAGAACTTTGTTTTAACTTTGATATTTCCTGATTTGGCACAGATAGCAATCAAATACCGAGTCAGAGCGAAAAAACAAGTCAGACCAATTAGCCTACCTACTTCATCATAGAAAGGCTATCAAGTTTTGGATATCAACAAGTAAAATATGAACTTATGAAGTTATCCATGGAAGCTATGCTAATTTGATAATATATTTTAGAGAGAGGAAGGGAGAGATCAAGTAGTAATGCATCAGCTGATATCCCTCTATATCGTTCTCTTACCCCTTTGTTTTGCTCGCAACCTGTGCACACAGCAAACTAAGGCACCCAAGACAACGATAAAGCAAATGGCTGTGAGGCTGACAATTAACTTTATTGGCTTTCCTTCACCTGAAATGAATTTGAACACATAAAGTATTAGACTAAAGAAAAGATATTGATCATTAGAGTTGTGCAAGCAATATTATCATATACCTAATTCTCCGTGAGCTAGGCGAATAAAAAGCTCTGATCTGCCAGAGGCAAAGTCTTGTATATCAATAAGGTCTTTGGACCAGACCAAACACCCTATATTAGTAACATATGCATAAGCCAGGCACGAACAATTCTTTAGGCATTCTATCTTGCACTCATCAACATCCATATCTGCAATATACTCATGAAAATCTGGCAAGTTTAACCTTTCCACCTGCCTAAACCCGTCTTCTTTTCCACTTGAAACAACTGAATTACTGGTGTTACTCTCACAAAACAATTTGGTTTGCCTCACACACCCTCCTGTCCTGTTTCCTTTCCTCCATTCCTCATGTGACTTGGGTGCAAAACCTTTCAAACACTTGCAAGTTGGAGTTGGAGATTTGGAAGCTTTGCAAACCCCAAAAAGTCCACATGTTCCATAAATGTCACATGGATTCGTTGGTGCCTCCCAGTTATGAAACCAGTTGCTGCCATTGTCTGAAACCATAAACGTAAGTACTCCTTCATAAGAGAGGTCTAGATATGAGAGAGTACTGTCAAATAACTTATAAGAAAAATACTTTGTTCCCTGCTGCACGTCCTCAACTAGAGTAAATCCACTTTGATATCGATCATCCATTTCTGGTACACCAATGAACTTCGATTTATCCCATGGCCCAGTTTTCCAGTAGGGAGTTGATTCATTAATCCAAATGAACACTTGTGATGGAGTCTGGGGTCCAAGTCCAGCAGAGAATATCCCAGCTGATGGATCACTCTCACTTTTCCATGCAGTCAATAAATTCTTCTTCCCAGATTTAGTATCAAATCCAATCACCATGCCTGGTAGAATTGTATCACTAGGATGATCAAAACTCTGCCACAATGGATCAGCAGCTGCTATACCATCATCTTTGACAACAAAGTTTCCAGTGTCTGAAAGAACTGCAGCTGAAGTTTTAGATGGCACTGAAATATTGGTTGACCAAATAGAATTCTGTTTGCCATCTACAAGCTCCAAATTCCCACTGCTGCTAATTGTCAAACTAGCCAAGGTGTCTGAAGCTGCAATAGGATTTTCTCTGTTGGCCACCCATACAACTTTACGAGGAAATATATCCTTGTGCCATATCCCCACATACTTATTAGCCGAGTTATTAGGACTGAAGAAACCCAGTTCAAAAATGTGGCCAGGAGAGACAAGGTTTTGTCCCTGTGATAATGGTTGTGAAGGAGTTATGTCATAAACTTCAGCACAATGGTGCTGTGACAGAAGCAAGCTGAAGAAGAATAGGAAAAACATGGAAGAATTTAAAGCACTAGCAATAGTTTCAGCTCTAATAATACCCATTTAAATCCTATTATGTTGTCCAGAAAAGCAATACTGAAATAAAACACTGTTTTGGTATAAAATTCAGATGATATCTAAGCAAGTGGATTCACATTTGATGCCTGTTAATTTTCTTACGCAACATCAACATGGACGAAGCACATTAGGAAACTTCATTATGAAAAAAAAATTGAATTTTAAAGTCAAGCGCGGAAAACCTTGAAACAGATTTTGGCTCCTTGTGGAGATATTTTGACTGATTAATGTAGTCTACTAATCTATGCGTGCATAGGGATTGAATTTTAAAGTCAAGCGCAGAAAACCTTGAAACAGATTTTGGCTCCTTGTGGAGATATTTTGACTGATTAATGTAGTCTACTAATCTATGCGTGCATAGGGAGCCGTTGATCAATGCGAACCCCATGTTATGGCCCATCTCAGTCAATGGCTCTCCTGTCTGGACAGGGGAGCACAAAGTCTATGCTTACCTTTATCAGTGTCTGACTATTATGTGCAGCTCCCTTCTCTGCTTAAATTCAATGACTACCTTGGACTTGGATGTATTGAGGGCAAGGGATGTTTCAATCAGACCAATGTATAACAGATTTGATTCTTGAGGTGCCTACTTCATAAATGTTTAACAGAGCAAGGTACAAGATACATATTCTGAGAATGGAAGTGCTTTTCTTTCTGTGGTCATTCTTTAAAGGTTGAATTTTACTGTCTTCAAATTTATATTTAATAGGTGAGAAAAGCATCTGCATGGATCAAAATTGTTAGAATTTTTTTTTTTAAGGGAATCTGCAAAATTGGTTGTGGCATAACTAGTAGGTTCTTCCACTTATCATGCATGTGTGATTAGAAAGTGGAGAAGGATGGTGGTGCCAACGAGGCATGCTATTGAGTATGACAGTCATCAAAAACCAAAACTGCAAATCTCTATTAGAACTCTGGTATGAGTATTTACTTTTTACCCTCACAATTGTTTAACCAAAAGTATAGACTATACACATTACTTTACCCCAATAATAGATGGAATAGCATATAAACATGTAGCAAGTTTATATGTCACCTCCCATCTACCATTGTAATTGTGACATCATTTGAGGATGCTAAATCCTGGCCGTCTGTACTAAATTTTGTATCCACATATCTCCTAATTGAAGTAAATATAGGTTGTATTGGCAATTGAAGATTTGCAGTTTCACTCTCCAGCATTAACACCACGGACGACATAGTTGGTCTAGAAATTGCAGAGTCTTGCACACACAATAGCCCTACTTGTATGCATCGCAATAATTCAGCTTGATTTTGGGAACATGTTTCTGCAATGGAAGAATCAATGAGGTCCACTGCTCTATTCTCATTCCAAAGATGCCATGCCTGAAAACATTCCAGAAATTCATTTCATCATTACAGTTTCTAAATAGTACTAACTAAAGAAGTAATAGCTAGCATTTAATATTCAAAACATCATGTATAAACTTACAAATCCAATTAGGCTCAAGTGTTCTGATGAGCGTAAACTAATGTTCCTCCGGCCGCTCACAATCTCTAGCAACAGTACCCCAAAGCTGTAGACATCTGACTTAACAGAAAACAGACCTTCCATTGCATATTCAGGGGACATATAACCACTGCATCATGGATATTTGAAAATTAGATTAATAAACTTTGAAATTATCTAAATAGGTTATATTAGTTTCAACAAGTCATTCTTACTATGTTCCAACAACTCGGGTTGTATTTGCTTCATTTTGGTTCCCCCCAAATATTCTTGCCATACCAAAGTCTGAAATTTTGGGAATCATATCTGCATCTAGCAAAATATTGCTAGCTTTTAGGTCTCGATGAATTATTCTAAGTCTAGAATCTCTATGGAGATAAAGGAGCCCTCTTGCAATCCCTTCAATAATTGCAAAACGTTTTCTCCAATCCAATAGTGCTTGCTTGGACGGATCTGCCATTTTACCAAAAAGGCAACTACTAAGTGAAACAAACCCCTCCTAATAACAATCCCTATATATCCACAATGCTATGAATTTGAAGTACATATTTTGATGCAAAAGAATACGTTAATTAGCTGAAAGAGAACATACCGAAAAGAAAGAAATCCAAGCTTTTGTTTGGCATGTATTCATAAAGCAGAATTTTTTCTTCTCCTTGAATGCAGCATCCTAATAGTCTAACAAGATTCCTATGTTGTAACTTAGCAATCAAACTAATCTCATTTTTAAACTCCTCCAAGCCTTGGCTAGACCTTCTCGAAAGTCTTTTTATAGCTACTTCTTGTAGTCCTGGAAGGTTACCCTGGTAATGGGAGAAAAAAAAAAAAAAAAGAGTAAAATCTCTAGTACATAACAACTTACTTTAATACTTGCAGACAGGCTCATCATATAAATTCACCTTGTAGACGGTACCAAAACCCCCATTCCCAAGCTTGTTTTCTTCAGAAAAGTTATTTGTAGCAGCTGCTACACAAGTGAAATTGAACAATGGTAACTCAGATCCATTTACTTGATTCCCTTCTGCAAAAAGGTCAATTGACCCTGAAACATCTGTTGAGAATTCATTGCTCTTGCTAGCATTGAGCATTGGTGGATCGTTGTTCCTCAACCATGAAATAGAAGAAGTGGTGGGCAACACTAGATAATAACAAAAGAAAGAGTTAGAAACAAAATGGAAAGAAGGTTATTTAATGGAACAGTCGACATTTTTCGTAAGTTGCCAAAAGAAATAGACCCTCTCATTCACCATAAGGAAGGGAAATGTGTATCCTACCTTTCAGTTTTGCTTTAAACCTCCATAATAGCAACATGAAGATGACTAAGAAGAGTGCTCCCGCTACAGAAATTACTATTATCACAGGGGTCGATAATTTTTTCTTGCCACCTATATATAAAAGGAGACAAAAGAAAAGGTATTAGAGTGGTTTTTCAGTTGAAGTCATGTGTGTAGCACAATGAAGTGACTTCAATTTTACACCAACAGAAAAGTGATTCCAATTCACCTTGATTTCTCTTGTATAGGAAAACAAACCAAAACCAGAAACCTCAACAATGACAAAGAAATCTAGTACTGGCCTTTTGGTTATGGCAAAGATTAACAGAGACAAAAAAAAACCTCCAATAAAGCCAAAGGAAGAATTAATTTACCTAAATCAGAATGCGCAAGACGAATGTTCAACGTATTTCCCCCCTTTGTAAATTTTTGGACATCCAGCAAGTCCTCTGTCCATATCATACAACCAATCCCTTGAACAAATGCATATGCAGTACAATCACAATTCTTAAGACAAATCTCCTCACAATTCTCATCTGAACCAGGAACAACTAAGTCTACAAAATCAGGCAACTTGGCACACCTTAGACCTACAAACCCATCTTCTTCATCATTTTCCTCTGTTCCAATTGTTCTATTTCTTTGACACTGTAACAGGGTCTTCCTAGAACACCCATCTGACCAATTTCTCCTAATCCATTGATCCCAATCCGTTGGTTGAAATCCATGCATACAACTACACTCCGAACCCGAACCATGCGATGCACTACAGACCCCAAACTTGCCACACCTGTTGTAAAGCTCACAGTCATTGGACTTGTTAGGCTGAGACTGTATCACTTCCCACTGGTTTTTATCTCCCACCCACCTAAGCTGCTCTTCATACCCATCCCACCTTATCTGAAACCTCAACTTATCCGAAGCATTCCATGGTGTGTAAGTAAAATACATGCTTCCATCCCCATTCTCATCACTAAGCTTAAAACCATATGAGTATGTAGTTGGCATATTTGGAACACCAATAAACAACTGCTTGTTCCAATGCCCACTTCTCCACCGCCTAGTTGATCCTTCCCATATCACTATCTGTGGTGATCCGCGTGGATCAACTCCCATCGAATACGCTCCTGGAGATGGATCATTTTCTGACTTCCATGAAGTCAAAAACCTGTTCTCTCCTTTTGCAGAATTCACCTCAACTTTCATGCCAGGCAAAAATGTATTTGTTGGGTCACCAAAGCTCTGCCAATACTCCTTGCTGGTATCGCCGCTGCTTGAAAGAACAAGATTTCCTTCATCATTGAGTATGGCCGTGGAGTTAGAGGAGGCTGAAACATTGCTAGACCAGACTGCGGTGTTATTTCCATCTAAAACCACCACATTCCCATCGCTTCCAATTTTCAAGATCCCAGCTTTATCAAAAATTGGCCTCTCTCTGTTTGCAACCCATATGACTGATGGCTCTGAAATGTTGTAATACCAAATCCCAACGTACCGGGACGATGAATTCTTCGGGCTGAAGAATCCCAGTTCGAAGCCGTCATAAATAAGAGTATCTCCATCTCTTAAAGGTTGACCTTGCGTAATTGAACTGGCAGCAGAGCAAAACAGAGCAAGAGAGGAGAAAGTGAAGAGGAAGGAAAAAAGATGGATCTTGAGACCTGGGTTTTTGCTAGCGATGCCCATCATCTGACAAACTCTAAGAATTGCAGACATGCATCCAACAGAGAGAAACTGTCTAGGTGCTAAAGTCAGCGAATAGGCTTTAATGGCGGCTTTGTGCTGGTTTTGTCTTACTCTGAAGAAGTCAAAAACCTGTTCTCTCCTTTTGCAGAATTCACCTCAACATTCATGCCAGGCAAAAATGTATTTGTTGGGTCAACAAAGCTCTGCCAATACTTCTTGCTGGTATCGCCGCTGCTTGAAAGAACAAGATTTCCTTTATCATTGAGTATGGCCGTGGAGTTAGAGGAGGCTGAAACATTGCTAGACCAGACTGCGGTGTTATTTCCATCTAAAACCACCACATTCCCATCGCTTCCAATTTTCAAGATCCCAGCTTTATCAAAAATTGGCCTCTCTCTGTTTGCAACCCATATGACTGATGGCTCTGAAATGTTGTAATACCAAATCCCAACGTACCGGGACGATGAATTCTTCGGGCTGAAGAATCCCAGTTCGAAGCCGTCATAAATAAGAGTATCTCCATCTCTTAAAGGTTGACCTTGCGTAATTGAACTGGCAGCAGAGCAAAACAGAGCAAGAGAGGAGAAAGTGAAGAGGAAGGAAAAAAGATGGATCTTGAGACCTGGGTTTTTGCTAGCGATGCCCATCATCTGACAAACTCTAAGAATTGCAGACATGCATCTAACAGAGAGAAACTGTCTAGAAGTAAAGGTGCTAAAGGTAGCGAATAGGCTTCAATGGCGGCTCTGTGCTGGTTTTGTCTGACTCTGACTCTCGCATGTGTGAGTTTTTCTGGACTGCGGAGTTAGGCGACAATCTCGCATTTGAAAATTATTTTAGGCTTGACTGGTTTCGGTGGTGATTGTTTCTGCTTTGGCCTTGAGCCTCTGGATCTACGCAAAAGACTTATTTGGATGAAACGAATATTTGTTAGTCGAGGAAACAATTGAAGATCACATCACATCACATGCCGTTGACGCGGTTTAAGAGACACATTTCAATAAATATATTTATTTATTACTATTAGGGGGTGCCAACTGCTCAATTCTTTCCTAAATGGAAGATACAATTCATAAATTGATTCCTTTTTATTTTTGGTAAAAATTAATAAATTGTTTCCTAAAATAAGAATTGACCCAGTGGTCCCCGCAGAAAAAAGCCGGTGAGCCAGTATAGAATTTTAAGAACGTTCCACCATTTTCCAACCGGTTACTTTACTTGTTTGTTACTTAATTTTAAATTAATTAGATACCTACTTCCTCGTGTGGTCTGAAAATTATTTTAGGCTTGACTGGTTTTGGTGGTGATTGTTTCTGGTTTGGCCTTGAGCCTCTGGATCTACGCAAAAGACTTATTTGGATGAAACGAATATTTGTTAGTCGTGAAAACAATTGAAGATCACATCACATCACATGCCGTTGACGCGGTTTAAGAGACACATTTCAATAAATATATTTATTTATTACTATTAGGGGGTGCCAACTGCTCAATTCTTTCCTAAATGGAAGATACAATTCATAAATTGATTCCTTTTTATTTTTGGTAAAAATTAATAAATTGTTTCCTAAAATAAGAATTGACCCAGTGGTCCCCGCAGAAAAAAGCCGGTGAGCCAGTATAGAATTTTAAGAACGTTCCACCATTTTCCAACCGGTTACTTTACTTGTTTGTTACTTAATTTTAAATTAATTAGACAGCTACCTCCTCGTGTGGTCTAATTTTCAAAGTAGTTCGGCCGATGATTTTTTTTTTTTAATGAAAAAAAATTTAGGGAGAGATTGGTTACTCTCATCGTCAACGTCATAGCAAACTCACAATTTCAAACTTGTAGAACTTACGTATTGCACCCAACTGCCAGTTGTTATCGATATGAATTTATGTAGGAAATTATAGATCGTGCACTAATGAGGACTGCTGACAACGGGACTCAAACACTAGTGGGGCTACACACAATGTAAGGACCTTACGAACTGAACCAACCCTCATTAGCTTCGACTGAAGATTTAGATTTATTGTAAAATTATTTTTTTATTTTTTTTAATCGTCATTTTTCATGCGTTTATGTTGCCTTTGCGATGGGGAAGGGAGCCTCATAGAATATAAGCGTTGACCTCACGTTGATCACGTCACATGGTATAAGTTTTAAACGGAAAACATCTGGTCTTCTTAATTAGGAGATGGCATCATGATAGTAAGGACGACTCACTATTAACTTAGTAATAATAGATGTCGTTTTGGATGACTTACAATACCTAAAAAAATAAAGAAATTGATTGTTTAACTCCGGTTAGGTGAAAATGATTAGAAGTCGAGTCTTTAACTACTCCATCCTCGAATTGAAAGGACAAAAATGGTTGGTATATTTTGTTCCAGGTAATGTGGGTTGTTAACTTGTTACACGCATATAAGACGTGGACTTTGACAAATTTAAAGAATCAATTAGCGCGGCTGCCACACAAGGCAAGGCAGAACAGAACATCACGTTGGACAGGTTTGGAGTCGTTGGGTTGGACACGCACGTGCCCTTTCTTTGAATGAATGAATGGAAACGCTTCAACTTGACTCAAAATTGGAAATATATTATATATTATATCATAAGGTCCTATTTTTGGAGTGGGCTAAAGAAACATGTAGGCCTAACTGCAAATTAATTCATTATTTGCTTTATGTTGTTAGCACCAGTTGTTTTTTATATAATCAACGATAGGAATTCATTGATAAGAGGACAAATATAAGTATTAAAAAGCCCAGTTATGCGCTAAGGGATTAGAATTTAGGTGACTCCTCTACACCTAAGGGCCAAGTAGTCTATATTCTCAACCGCAAGCAGAAGGAACCTTACTCTTGATAAAGTGCCCTCCCAAATCCCCTAAAGTCATACCTGTAAAAATAAACCCCAATGTTAAAAATTATTAAGGGTAAATTTCAGTTTACTACGGTAAAGTTTACTGATTTTTAGAGTTCGATACAACAAGTTCTTTTGGTCTGTCACATACACAACGTTGATTTTCTTATCACTTCATACCTACCGTTAGTCTTTCCGTTAACAAATCTATTAGAGTAATGCTATTTAGACACACAACATTGACCACTTTAACTGACCACCTTATGTGTGTCTAAATAGCAGCAATCTATTATTAAATATTAAATAAATAAGAAAAACTTATTAAACGAATACATTAATTTTTTAAAAAACTTAAATTTAAAATAAATAAAAATAAAACCATCTCGTCGCCTCCTCCCATCACCCCCATCCACCGCCCCATCACTCCACCACCCTGCGCCTCCCAACCATCACCACCCCACCCCACCACTACACCCACCCGACTAATTTCATAATTTGAGAGACCCGGTGAAACCCTAGGTCTCAATCACAATTGTGAGCTTCAATCGTAGAAAGTCAAAACCCACAAACAGAGAAAGGGGGAAGAGAGATACAGAGGGTGGATGATGAGTTGGGGTTCATGACTGTCGAATAGAGAGAGGGGAAGAGAGAGAATGAGGAAGGTGTTGTATCAACCACTCGATTCGGGTTGGGTCGAGTCTTCTTCTGGTCGTACATGTAATACCTATCTAAATTCTCCCACATGCTCCGCACATTCTTCACGATCCAACATGAGTTCTCTCAGTCGATCTAGGTTCTGGCAATACTGCTGACGACGCTCATTTACTCGGTGGTGTACGGCTACAGGTTCTGGACGGCGTTATGATGTTGCATTTCATGAAAGGCGGGGGCTATGGATTGGGTGTTCAATTCGGTGTCGAATGGGGTGATTCTGTTGACCGGCGGTGGGTGGAGGTAGTTGTAGCGGCTGCGATGGGGGCGAGGTTAAGTCTGTTGCTGGTGGGTCTTGTTCTTTTGGGTTGGGAGGGAAGGACAAGAAGGGCAAGGAGTTTTCATAGTGTGGGTTAGAGTGTATGATACTTTGGGTAGGGGGGGGGGGGGGGGGGGG